AAGAATGAAAGCTGAGCAACCGAGGGAAAACAAACAATCTTGGGTAACAAAAATGTTTTCCAAAACAATCATTGGCTCTTCAGAGACTGTTTTGACTAGTTATTTTGTTATTATTAGATTCAATTATACCTTTACATCTCTTCACACACAAAATTAAGAATACCAGATTAATTAATTTGAATTGTTATTTTGGCATGATTTAAGAGTAGGTAAAAATACTTAGAAACATCTTGTCTGGCTTACAGAAAAGTGGGGTTTTTTTACTGGTAATTCTCATGATGAGAGGCTTATTTTGAACTTTAATAAGTTTTTTACAGTTTTACCAACACAGTGGCCAAAAAGCACACAATATATGAAACAGCCAGTATCTATTTTCCTTAATAACTACCACTGCTTAGTTCCAGTAAGATTTGTACTGTTATATGGGTTGAACTGGAGGAGTTATTTTGTGCAATTCATCTGGGACTTATGCGTGCTATACTCTAATGTCAAGAGTGCCTCCAAATCAGCTGTATCAGAAACACATTTCTATTCTTTCACCATTTTTGATGTCTTGATAGTCTTGACTGAAGACTTTTTGTCTGAGCCAATATTAAATATCAATTTAATACTAAAATCTTCAAAAATGCAGTTTAAAATGGCCCTCTTTCAAGCAATCAAAACCTGTGTGTACTTAAATGTTATCCTAAGGGTAAACCAATTTAGTTAAAAAGCTGAACTTCAACAGGTAAAAGCTACATTTACACATAAGATTTTGCCAACACAAATATCTGCAAATTTCCCAGATCTGCTAGACTAGCTTCCTAGATCGGCTACATTGTCTGGACCACCTTTCACATGTACTTCATACTAGTTTCCCTGTCTCCCTCCTCCCCAGTATAAATCATCCTGACAAAAAATTTAATACTGGTATAACTACACACACCAGAGTTTCTCCTAGTATGATTTCTGCAGACATATGGGGGACAATTCTCCTAATGCAGTGCTGGAAATATACATTTACTTTGACAGCTAAAATCGGCTATTTCAATCTCTGTTTTTCTGTTTTGTTTGTGTTTTCTTTTAAATACACCTGCCCACTTCCTTGCTTAAATATGGACTGTCCTGGTTCTGGCAAGGACAGAGTTAATTTCACAAGGAGCCAGGACAGGTGAGCCAAGCTGGCCGGGGGCTATTCCATACCATGTGATGTCATGCTCACCATAAAAGGGGGCTAGTCGGGCAGGGGCAGGCTCGGAGTGGCTCCGGGATGGGCTGAGTTGTCAGGTTGTGGGATCGGTAAATCGTTCTCTGTTATCACCCATTGTTACTATCTGTTATCAGCACTGTTGTTGATCGTTTCCCTCTCCCTTGTTGTCCCAGTAAACTGTCCTTATCCCAACCCTCGAGGCTTTGCCGTTGTTTTTCCGTTCTCCTCCCCATCCTGCCGGGGGAGGGGTGAGTGAGCCGCGCATGGCACTCAGCTGCTGGCTGGGGCTAAACCACGTCAGGACAAAACTTGAAATATCGTTTTAAAATTGTTGCATACTGTGCTATTTAGCTGGGAACATTTAAAAACACAAGCCAAAAAAACCCTTGAGGGAGATAGTGGCTAACCTACTTCAGCTCTTGAAGCATACTTCAAAGATCTGTGGATCAGTATGGGTCAGTTTACCACTGGCATGTAACTTCATAGTGCAGTATTCTCCTCCTTTCCCATCGAAGGATCAAGGACAAGGAGACAGTGTGTTACCTTCCACAGGAGTACAAGCACTGAGGCACTGGAAACAACTGGGATTTTAGTAGACATACTGGCATCTGCTTGCAGTCCTAGTGGGGTTGAGGAGGATGAGCCACTGCTCCAGCAGATCTGCCTCTGAAAGCACAGGTTTGCAAGATACAGACTCCTTTGCCAAATAAGTCCTACACCACAACCTTCTCCAGGCAATCACTGGAGGAAGACTAGCATGTGAAAAAGCAAAGAACAGAGGGGAAGTGTTTTGTAGCTATATATCCTATCTCCACTTCCCTTAGATGTACTGGGTATTCAAGTTTCACAATCAGTACTGCCGAGTAAAAAGCTCTAATCCTAAAAAGCATATTGGAATAATTAGAAAAAAAGTCAAGAGGCAACCCGCCCATGCTATTCTTTGAGTTACTCATTACCTAACTTAGTATTCCATAAAATAGTAAAAGATTTCAAATAGTAGATGAGGATGACTTACTTTAAATCAGCTCAGAACATAACAAACCAAAACCAACTAACTCATATAAAAGGTGCAATTGTTTTGACATCACCTAAAGCTTTTCCTAGTTATCAAAAAGTAATCTAGTAAGATCCTTACACACCTCTCCTTTCTTAATCTTAGATCCTAAATTCAGTTGCAGTGCTGAACCAGGCAGCCATTTCAATAGCAACAGAACGATGGCAAACTGAGGATTATGACTTCCCTTAAAGTTAAAATAGAACAGCTAGAAGAAGAGGGAAATGTTTTATCGCACATGCGAAAGTAATGTGAAACCTAAGTAAACATTCAGCTTATCTGCATTATAAGTGATCCTCTGTGTACTATGTATCAAGAGTAGTTCATAGTATTCCTGAGGTTTGAAGGTCAAGAAGATTGACTCGACTGTCTCACAGAACCAAACATCTTCACTATTTTCAATACAAAGGGATAGTAAGTATAACTTTTTAAGTGATCCTGAAATGGAAGGCAACTGCTGCACAGAATCAAGCTTCTCAATTCCCCTTCTTCACTGAATTAAGATATAGCTTATTAAATACTCTAGACTAAAATTCCATCCTATTTTTAATAAATTTAAGTGGCTATGGTTCCAACTATCTTCTACAGAGAAATTGTTACAGATTGTAGGCAGATAAAGTTAAGCCTGCAAGGACAAAGCATACACTCCTTGCTTTTAAGAGCTAACATTGTTAAAGATATGATGACAAATCAAGAAATCATTCATATTTTTCTTCAGCCCTACATGGATGTTTTCTTGCCTTTTTTTGTTAACTTCATTACAGTAGTTTGTGCCAGTTCTGACAATAGCCTAGTAAAATCACGATGCAGGAATCTTACTGAGGAAAGCAATTGCCTGATAAGAGGTTTTTAAAGCTCATCCTTCCATGTGCAAACACCAGGGTCTGAATCATTAAGATGACCTGAATAAATTTTATCAAGGAGGAAATTTAAATCTTCAGGGGTTACTATTTTGCTTTTAATACTTATCATGTTCAAAAGCACTCGTGAAGACTAAACTGGAAGAAAGGAGTGGCAGAAGACAAAGGGAACTTTAGGAGGTAAAGTGTCAGACACTGTGGGAACTGCTTAATGAGCCAAGGAAAAAATACTACAGATAACAGCCTCAATACTGTTTTGCATGTTCCTCTCACTCGAGGCATTTTGAAATTCATCAAGACTGTATTTTGCATGTAGACACTGATCACCTGCAGTAAAAGAGCTGTGTATTGTAGTCACAGAAGTCACAGGATGGCTCAAAACTGTTTAATTCCCTTTCAGTCTTACTCGATGACACTTGAGTGAATTCTCACTATTCCCCTCCCTGGTTTCAGGAAGGTGGGAAGGTTTCTAGTCACAAGCCTCTTCACATAACAAAGCTGAAAACATGTGCAAGTGGTACGACTGAAATAGTGCTTGTGTCTTCAGAGCCTGGAAAATTTTTCCACAAAATGAATCCTGTAGGAAGGCTTGGAATGCAACCAAACCTTGTCAGTAAACTTAAGCAACTATTTTGTTTTACCAACAAAGTTACTATTTTGGAGAGGAATGTGATTTTCAAATAAAGCTTTACTGACATAATATACTAGGCACTTACATTAGCACAACCCTGATGAAAGATATGTTAATTACCCTGAGGAAAGGAAGTATGCCAACAGAAATGGTCTTACACTGGGCCAAATGGAAGGTAGAGCATGATCTGGTTTTAACAGATAACAGTTTCTAGTAGTTACACAAAACCTAAGATGACCTAAAGGCTAACATATGCTGCAAACAACCCTAATTTTAAAAGGCCTGTTAGCTTATAAAGTTTACAGATATCATAGCAGCAAGCAATCCTACTTCAGTCAAAATCCACCTGGGATTCTACCTTCATATACTGAAATATTACACCATCAATCAAAGAGTCAGAGTAACGGTAACATTCACATTCTTGTTAATTTGTGTTACAGCTCTACTCCTTCACAAAACATATCCATTAAAGGTTTCTGCACTCCCTCAGTAACGTGTGCATGCATACTAAAGACCAGTTCCAGGGGGGGCAAGACTTTCTCAAGCTCTGTTCCCGCTGCAATGTGGCTAGTTTTTAGATTAATTCAAGAGAAGCCAGCAGCTGTTTGTTCAGTCACTTCTCAGATGTTTCTACACGCACACAGTTAGGATATGCATAATAGTAAGTGGACACATTGAAGTACCTAACAGGAAGCCGAGGAAAACAAACAAAAAAAAAAAAAAAAAAGGAGAGTAGTCAGGCAGAAAAAAGGAAAACAACCATTGCCTCCACCTCACAAATTTGGTTCCTGTGTTGACAGAGCCTTGTAACAGAAAAGTAGTATTCCTGTATATAGCATCATGACAGGCAATTACTTTGTAGTAATTAATCTCAAATTCAAGGTATTTACTGATAAAATTCCCTGCTTGGCATCCATTACCTAATCAGTTTCCACTTAGACAAGACTAACAGCTTCCTTAACACCTTGTATCTAGTATCACCATAGTGATAAAATTGTAAATTCTTTATTCCTGCAAATTAGCTGGTGCTTAATAGCAAAGTCAGATATTTCTCAGCAGCTGCAAAGACCAAACTTAACACTTTTATGTTCATCAGGTGACTCTTCTACTTTGTTTTAGAAGTACCCAAATGACCTTTCTTCTGAAATCATGTGTATTATATCCTCTCCATCCCTCCTCTGTAGTTATAAACCTATTAACCTTTGAAGTATGCCCATTACTGACCAGTATAAATCATCACACACCTTAAAAAATTATAAAACATACCTGACTTAATAGCTGTCCATGAAAAATGTTGTTAACCACATTCAAAACCTGTTTTATAAGTTTTCTTTGAGAAGCAGGGATGAGTGCTGGGTATCTGGTCCCTGTAGTCTCCAGTTCCTGCTGCACTTTATCCAAAAGTTCACAGAGAAATTCCTGAGCATCTTGTTGGGCATATCCTCTGAAGGCTGGAATTAGTCTCCACACAGAATGAAGCATGGCAAAAGGAGACACCAGCGCCCATTTCCCAGACCACATAACTTGGAACAGAGTATGCAGCTCATGACAGAGGGAAATATGCTTTGAACTGGGCTCCCTGGGCTGAATAAGTTCCATATTTCTACTTTTTGATGCTCCTCCACTTAATCCAGAGGATAAACTAGGCCGCCTCACAGAAGAGGATCCCTTTACTTTCTCTTGGTTCTCAGTCACATGTAATGTTGAGGCAGCTATTGACAGATGTTTAGATGAAGACCTGGTTTTACCATTGGTTGCTGTTGCCAGCAGTTCCTGAGTTTGGTTGAGATCAAGCTTTAAAAAGCATTCTCGAAAAATAAGTAAGTGACTTAATACCTGCAGGATGGAATTCATATAGCATGTATTTCCCAGGTTTCTCAGTCCTGTTACCCCAGGAGTCACTGTGGGCCTTCGTTTAATTGGAGAGTCACTTATTTTTTTCAATCTTACTTCATCTGAGGTATAAATATTTTTCAACTCTGCCACAGATTCCATGTTCTGTGATGTTTTTTGCAGGCAGGGTGCTGTTTCTGAGGACATTCTAATCTGATTTTGTAAACGACTGCTCTTTCTCGGAGGCATTTTTTCCATCTCTGCTTTCAACTCACGCTTTCGTTCTTGTCTTCTCTTCCTAGCTTTATCCCTTCTTTCCTCTGCTTCTTCCTGACGCCTTTCTTCTTCCAAAATCTTTTTTCCAGTAGGTGTCAACTCAAGCCATGATCTGAATATTTTGCCCAAGAACGCACGCCGTCGGTGCCAGAGAGCTGTGAACATGCGATCTTCATTCCGAAGCAAGGCTTGGGCACCACCATGTGAAAGGTAAGAATCGTCACTTGTAGCCATAGAACGCAAAGTCCTCCCACTTCGAGTAGTGCACTCATAGTTTTGACTCTTGATTGCACTCAATGTACTTCGCAACAGTTTTAAATCACCAGTTGCGTTATCATTAAGAACATAATCATCACAGAGATAACAGAAAACATACAGTTCATTTACTTCCAATGCCACTGGGTGACTGCTCTCCTGAAAGTGCTTTAGTGCATGTTCTTCAATATATCTTCCACACGCCACATGCGAGCAGCTGAGGCACGCCCACACAGATTCAGTAGTATTGCAGTCCACACAATGCCATTTCTGAGGATTCAGAATGGAGTGATCTTGGGCCAGTCGCAGACGACCTATGTGCTTACACTTATCCATTGTTAAAACTGAAATTGCAGGGATACGCTGGCAAAACACATCATCCAAACTATTTTCTGTCCATGATATTTCAATCTGCAACTAAAAAAAAAGAAAAAAAAAAAGTTGTAAGTTACAGTTAATAAATACCCAACTGTATCACTTTTACATGTGTCAGTATACCAAAATCATATACTTGAGGTTAAGATCAGGATCTTCATCCAACTAAGTCCCACCAAACATACAAAAGCACTCAGTCCTATGGAGCCACAATCGACATTATCAACAGCAGTTCAGACTAAATGGTCTGAATAACACTGTTTACATTCCCAGTACCTCCTGGGTCAGGACTTAAGCATACTAGCTACACTTTAGATTAGGCCTGTTTTTTTTCAAAGGAGCACAAATTTAGTTGAAAGCACAAATTTGGTTGAAAGACAGTTAATAGAGTTTGGATACAAACACAGCTTCAAATGGGACAGGTTGCCTAGAAAAGCTGTGGACACCTCATCCCTGGAAGTGTTCAAGGCCAGGCTGGATGGGGCTCTGAGCAATCTGATCTAGTGGAGAGTGTCCCTGCCCATGGCAGGGGGGTTGGACCAGATGGTCTTTGAAGGTCCCTTCCAACCCATGATTCTAAAATGCTCCCACTAATCCTATCCCTAAGCATACAGGTGCAGAAGTGCAAAGTTCACTTAAATTTATTATGTTTACACAGTGCCAACAGTTCAGACAAATGAGGCTTTATACAACTCAAACCCTTAATTAAACCACACCTTTAATTAAATCACTGCACCTTTGTGCTCAGGCAAGCCCATTATACCAGAGCTTTATACAATAACGTATCTTCAATAAGTACATTTTAACATGTCATCTTAACACCTTTGGAAAAGAGTGACTTGGAAAAGTAGAACTTGCTTTGTTTGTAAGACAGAAATACCATTAGATATCTACCTCAGTTGCTGCAAACTTTATAAAAGTCTGCATTTTGAACAGATCTTTCTAATCCACATCTTCAAAAAATCACTTAAAAATTTGGCTAGCACTGGCTTACATCATGTAAAAAGTTTACGTGGTAGCATTTATTTGTTCAAATCTGCTGTGTTTGCTTTATCCCATACAGTGCATTTAACTAAACCAAACAGGCAGGCTCTGACTAAAAATTCAAGAGACAGCGATTCATTCTTCCTTTATGCTTTTACCATCTTTCTTTTGACTATCTCTAGTTGTGAGATATCATCTAGAGACAAATAATGCATCAGGAAGTGATTATACTTGATCTGGGGTGTTCATGCCCACGATGTCACTGACTAGAAGGGCTAAACAGCACACAGCACCAGCATCATCATGCACAGTACTTGCCAGACGAAACGGTGACTTCATCTAGAGGAGTACCAAGGGTTTCTCAAATATCCAGGCTACGCCAACGGAGACAAGTTATGCTATTACAAATGCATGCATACTGTGGAACTGGCCTAGGCCGTACAATATCAAGGTCCAGGATTATGTTTACAGGTAAGTAAACCATGATACAAAAATACTATGCGATTTAGACAATTGTGAATAGAAGCCAAAATACTATTATTCTTGAATATGCTAATATTTCTCCATTTTTACAGTTCTGAAATACACAATAATAGGTTACTCAATTTAGAACAGATGTCCAAGTTAGAATAAGCATTAGATTGAGAGAACCCATTGACATGACACCACTGAGGAAGGGAAACAGGTAAAATATTGCAACTGGATAGGAAAGCAGCTTTATTTTTCATCTGGTACTTAGATAAAAACTGTAGTTAAAAGATTTAACAAAAAAATGGCTTTGGTTAATTGGCTCATGGCTAGTGCCTTCTAAAAACGTTACAGATACCAGCACAAGAGCTGTAATAACTCTCTATGCACATAGCCAGCATCCAGCATTGCCTGTGTTGTGTAGGTCTTATTCTGCAACACAAAAAAGGTTGAGCCAGCTGTAATGAAACTAATAAAGTGTACACAGTTTTACATGCCTATATTAATCATTCTCATTCAATTTATTTAAGAGTTGTCTCCAGTCCACACTCACTGCACTGAAAAATTTCAGGTGCCATGACCTCCAGGTACCCATTCAGTAATTTCCAGATTAAGTACCAGCCATAGCATATTACGGGAAGCTGAGATCCCTTGCGTGCTCTGGTCAACAGATCACAAAAATAATGGCTTGCTGAACTTTTTCAGCTTGCTAGCATCTGTAACATTCATTCCTTCTACAAGGTAGTCTATTCATAGGCTGTTAATGAGATTCTTTTACAAACATTCGTGCATACTAAGTTTGCTTTTTATACCGTCTATAAATAAGACCACTAACTTTATCCCATTTCTTCTCCTAGTCTGACAACCTGTTTTCCCCAACAAAGCCGAGCTTTTCTAACACTGATAAAATTCACATAAATTTCAGAGTTGAACTATGTACGTTAATTCTTCTTGGAATACTAAAGTAATACCTATGATGTAAAGCGTGCTGCCAAGAATTCAATAGGTAGACAGGATTTTAAGAGAAAAGACTCATCTTTGTGTTTCTGGACTATCAGAAATAGATTCTCCTGCATAACATATTAGTAACGGTTCTTCTCAGCAGCCCAGAAAAGAACACTAAACCCTGCCTTCCCACAGGGCTGTCACACACAGCAATGCTGTCAGTCAGAGGAGTCTGACAGGTCGACCCTTTATGGTTTTGTTAAAGTCAATGTGTAAATACTGTGCCTTATTTTTCCTTCTTTTTAATATTATATGGTCAAAAAAATTTGTTTTTCTTCATTTCAAAAATATTATCAAGAGTGAAACTACTTACATGCCTCAATGTAAGCAGATATTGGACTGGGGACAAAAGCAGTCACTGCTTTCGGGACGACCACTGTGTGCACAATCAAGCTCTTCATGCAAAAGCAACAGGATTCTACGAAAGCGAATGATCAGCGCCTTGAAGAGAAAAACCTAAAACCTCAGCTCCCCCACCAGCAACCAAGCCAGCATGACATTTTCCCACCTACGTCGATGTGTGCAGAAAGGAGACGGGGTGGAAGGGGGGAGGGGGAGGAAACATCTTGGAATGGGAGAAGTCTTTCTTTGAAGAAAATGTGAAGAAATCAAAATGCAGAGTTTGGTCAAAAAGAAGTATCTGCGAAGATTGCGAAAAAACTAAAAGTGCAAAACTGAGACCAAGAAAACTTGAAGCTGAATGTCAAGAAGCACACTGACAGGATGAATGTTTTAATACGTGGAGCACTAAGTACTGAGACTACATCAAGTCCCAAAACTTTAAAACTTTGCCTTAGAACCAAGACTTGGCAAGACAGAATAGCTCAGGGGGAAAAACAGAAGTGACAGACAGTGGTGGAAGAAACTTAAAAAATACTGCCTACTCATTCCCACGCCTACTAGAGAGCTGCAGCTGGAATAAAATACTACAAGCAAACGTTCCAACATTAAAATTCCCTAAAGAAAGTTATTCAGCACTAGTTTCTGCATTCTTCTCTCCAGAGGTTCAGTTCTGTGCACACACACAAAGAAACTGTGAATTAGTTGACCAGCGCTTCAGAGATCAAGCCCCCCCGCCCCGTGTTATTAGCACAGACCCGAGCTGAAGTAGTAAGCAAAATAACAAGTACTAACATACAGAATAGCACTACTGAAAGCATTAAGTTGTCTGGGAAAACAGAGATATACAAAAGTCTTTTCTTGAGCCAAAGTTTCACAAGCTAGAAATAACGATACATGGAATAGCAATTTTTTTCATTGAACCATATTTCAACCTTGTTGTCGTGCTCGTTTCTTTAGTTTCACTAAAGAATGGCTGGCAAAATGTACATTTTGGGGTAACTCATGAGCTGAAAAAGTACTCGATGTCAAAACCCAACAACTTAGAAGACAAGAAAATAAATCTTTTTTTCTTCCATTTGTGTTCCACATAAACAAGAAATTAAGATTCATTTTCGCAGATGATATTTTAAAAATTTTAACTAAATATAAACAAAAGGAAACATTTTTCCCTTAGTCACTACTTTTGTAATTAATTGCTTGGCATGTAAATGAAAAATCAAAGTCTATCTCAACCGTCAGACTAGAAATGAAGTACATGGTTTTACTAATATAAATACACACGTGTGCATGTTCGTGTGTCCCATTAATATTCTGGCTTTTAAATCGGATGACCAACTGATTTTCATCAGGTTCACAGTACCTGTTTAATATCTGAAAAAAAACAGGAATCACGGTTGAACAAGTGAAAAGTTTTAGATAACAAGTGTGGTTACTAGACGGCAGACGTACTGCTGTACTGCATTCTTAAACAATTTTATTTTTTAAAGAAAACAACCTAACAAAACATTGACGTGCATAAGTTCAAGCTGCACTACAGTCCTGCAGGCATGACAGTAAAACTTAAAAATCAAAGCGGCACTTCCAAAGAAATTCTGTAATTTATTTCCGATCTTTAACAAGAAACTCCCGCAGCGTCCTTTCTTCGGAACTATATAGATCATCATTTAACTTTTTTCCCTCTTTTTTTTTTTTTTCCTGCCAGCTAAGGAATGTATATACAGCATGCTGCCATTTACACCGGGGCACCAGACACCGGTCCAACATTACAACCCATGTCTCTTATTGCAAATAACCGCGCATTTCCTGCAGTTGAGAATTCAAGGTAAACAAATAATTCAGACAGAAGCACGAAAAACACAGCACTTCTTATTACTCTGGATTTACATGTGACAGTTCTTCCCATTTATAAAAATAAGCATCTCCGGCTGCTCTGACAGCTCCTCGGACAACGCCTGGCTCCTGTTCTGACAGCCCTGGCAAGTAAAGACACTCCAGCTAAGTTCACCCATGGCTCGATGCCGGAGTACGAGAGTGCCCACGACTATTTCGGTAGGAAGGTCCCGCGACATGGCGCGACTCTTCGCCTCTCGGCACGTACGAGACCCGAGCGGCC